TGCTTGGTTCTTGATCTATAAGTGGAACGGAGAGCTCCTTCTCCACCCCTGACATAATGGTACAAAGGAGGTCATCACGTTGGAAGAACTTCAGACCACCTGCCTTAAGCTCTCTTCTACTCCTTCTGTTCCTCTCTGCCTCCCGCTACCACCTGCCCCTGTCACTTCCCTTCTCCTCCCTTTCCCCTTCTGCTCTGCTTCCACCATTTTTCATTCTAAATCAAAGATCCCTTAAGTTGCAGTAAGAAGCTGTGTTTCCAAACGATACTTCTCTTCTAAGTCAAAGACTAGAAGAAATAAATCATGTTTCAACCTGTCTTCTAAATCTGAGAGCAAGTGCACCGGACAGGACCAGTACACAAATAATTACCCTGACACTGAAAGCTCACCTGCCAACCCATCACCCCAACATGTACCTCGTAGCCATTAGCTCTCTGTGTGCTGCTGGCCGCTCCCGTCCCAAACCTTCTGACTCCGTCATCCAGAGGCCAAACAGCAATGCTTCCAGTCAAGGAAGGGCAGCGCAGGGCAGGGCAGGCCATGGTGGGTGCTTGCTTCCTTCTACTTCTGTGGCCCCATGCACCTTAATGCGATCAAGAGTCAAGTTGCTGAAGTCAGATATTTAAGATGTGAGAGCACCCCATGTTTTTAGATGCTCAGGGTTGGTGCTGAACGATGTACTTTTAAGCTCAGAAAGAAGGACGTGTCTGAGAAACATGAGCTAGATCACCCTGAGATGCATCACCAAGCCTCTGAGACCTCCATGCAATGCTCATTCCATGTTAAAATCACCCCGACCCATGTTCTTTTTCACTTTTCTACCCTGCCAGCCTGGTGTAGCGGGGAAGGCTTCAGGCTAGAAACCGTTTCTAGTCCCGCCTGAGGCACGAAGCCAGTGGGGGGGCCTTGGGCCAGGCCCTCTCTCTCTGCCCTGGGAAGGAGGAGGAGGAGGAGGCCAGGGCAAACCACAGCTGAAAATCTTGCCAAGAAAACTGCAGGGATTGTCCAGGCAGCCGGCAGGGGTCAAGGCACAAGAGAAAACCAAAGCAGAGCTCAAGAGGCAGCAGAGCTCAAGAGGACAAAACTTGATATCCTTGGTGGATGCCTTTTTAACATTATACTTTAGCAAAAAGATGAGAAGTAAGAGAGCCTGTAGGCTTATTATCTAAAAGTCAGAACACAAAAGGAAAAGGGGTCGCATGGCTGCCATGAGGAGTATCCACACCACAGTCAGCAAAAGCCCTTGGTCCTTGGGTATGGACCTTGTTCCTATTCTTCTCATAGGTGCCCAAACCTCAAAGACAAAGTTTTCCCAGTCTTTCATATTCAGAGTCTGTCTATAGCTACTCCTTTGCCCCTATCAAGTCCCAACTTGCACAGAGCCTTTTGATTGGAAGAAAGGCGGGTGCCCAGACACACTGTGGGACCTGCCTGGCTGGTTCAGATGCCCTATTGCAACCTAGGCATTCACAGTTCAATGTCTTCCATACTGAATTTGAGGAAGGCAATAACTTTTCAGAATCTTTCCATGGGATTCATCTCTATTAACATCTGATGACCATCAGCCTAGATGGGTTTAAAACAGAATAGATAGATTCATGGGTAGGGTGACTAAAGAGAGCCTTCCTATTGAACAGTACTAGACCTTGGGTTCCTGGGAGCAATATGGAAGATCCATTGCCTTAAATCTCTGCTTGTGAGAAGAATCTGTGGGAACCAAGCTGTGAACTATATATGAGTACCTTTATCTGCAGGAGCCTAAGGTAGGTTGGTAGGGTTGGGTCAAGGGCATGAGTGGATTTCTAAGATGGGTGGGATCTAGGTAAGTGCCATGAGCTAAGATAAAACAGATCTGTTTTAAAGTATCAGGATGTTTTTCACAATTACATTATAGTTTAACCTTCAGCAGTGGTATACAACCTTTCCCTAGCTGAAGATGGCATTTGGCCTTGGAGAGGCATGTAGAGGATGGGAATGCAAAAAGGAGTGGGTAGAACCAGAATGAACACTAAATTTCAATTCACACTGAAATGTTCCTACTACAGTACTTGACTTTATGTCAGATGGATGAGAGAGCCTGATTGTCTACAGCAGTGTTTCTCAACCTTGGGAACTTTAAGATTGTATGGACTTCAACTCCCAGAATTTCCCCGTCCCCCCCGGCTGCCCGGGGACTCTTTGGGTGTGAATCCAGAAAAAATTATAGATTTCCAAGGGTTGAGCACAAGTGG